ATTGGTTTTTTAAGTCAGATGTTTTGAAATTTTCTATTAATTTCCGATCAGGCAAGATAGTTCATACAAAGCGATCAATTTTATCTGAAGTGGCAAAAATATTTGATCCCCTTGGTTTGTTAGGTCCTTGTATTATTTTGGCGAAAATTCTCCTGCAAAAGCTATGGTGTGAAAAGTTGACTTGGGATGAAACTTTGCCACTTGCTGTAGAGTATCAATGGAAGAAGCTGAGGGAAGAATTTACATGTTTAAATGATTTTGAAATATCAAGACATGCAATGGGAATAGGAACTAAAAACGTTGATTTAGTTGGATTTTGTGATGCATCGTCTCAAGCATATGGCGCAGTCGTTTATCTTAGATGTATTACTGAAAATGGATCTGTAAAAATATCCCTCTTATGTTCCAAGTCAAAGGTAGCCCCGCTTAAATCATTAAGTATACCTAGATTAGAACTATGCGCTGCTGTTTTGCTAGTAAAATTGGTCGATATAGTAAAAGCAGCTCTTTCTTTGGAGTTTAATAATATTTATTTGTGGACTGATTCAATGGTAGTACTTGGATGGATTGGTTTATCACCTAACTTATTACAAACCTTCGTAGCTAATCGTGTCTCACAAGTTCAGACTTCATCCGATGTTTCTCAATGGAATCATGTTCGATCAGAGGATAATCCTGCGGATTTGTTATCCAGAGGTGTTTATCCAAGAAACATTCTTGAAAATGATATGTGGTTTCAGGGACCAAAATGGTTAGGTTTAGGAAAAGATAAGTGGCCAGCTTCACGGGGGTTTAGAGATGCGTCATTGCCCGAGGTAAAGGTAAAGTCCTGTCAGGTTGCTCTAAATGAAATATCCATATTTGAAAGATTTAGTTCATTGAATAGGTTAAAAAGAGTAATGGCATTTTGTCTCAGATTTGGTAATAATACGAAGTTAGGAAGCTCTAAATCATTTGGTTACTTAAAAGCCCATGAATTGGAGACGTCCTTGTGCGTTTTAATTAAACTTTCACAACGGGAATCTTTTAGTATTGAAATAGTAGAGTTGGAGAAGAAAAAATATCTTTCCAATAAGAATCTTTGGAAACTAAGTCCCTTTTTGGATGAGAGCGGATTCCTTAGGGTGGGAGGTAGATTGCAGTTATCTGATCTAGAATATTCCAAAAAACATCCGATTTTATTATCTGGAAAACATAAATTTGCTCATTTATTGGTAACGTGGGAACATGAACGATTATTGCATGCAGGGCCGCAATTGTTGCTCAGTAGCCTTCGCGAAAAGTATTGGATTTTGAGGGGTAGGAACCTAACAAGAAAGGTATTTCATAGTTGTATAAAATGTTTTCGAGCAGCCCCTGTTCCTTTAAGTCAAAAAATGGGTGTTCTGCCAGAAGTAAGAATAAGACCTACTCCTCCATTTCACACCACTGGTATCGATTATGCCGGTCCATTTAAAATAAAGGATCGGCAAGGGCGCGGTGCAAAAACAACTAAGTGTTACATTTGTCTGTATATATGCTGCTCTACAAAGGCCATACATTTGGAACTGGTCTCCGACTTATCGACAGAGGCTTTCATAGCTTCTTTTAGACGGTTCACCTCACGAAGAGGAAAACCTACTTTCGTTCTTTCAGACAATGGATCTAATTTTGTGGGTGCGAATGCAGAACTGCGCGAATTAGGGGAGTTTCTTAAAATTAAATCCGATAATATTGCATCTTGGGTAGAAAATGAAGGAATTTCTTGGAAATTCATACCTCCAAACGCACCTAATTTTGGTGGGCTTTGGGAACCTGGTGTAAAGTCCTCAAAGTATCATTTAAAGCGGATTATGGCCGATGCTTCTCTCACATTTGAATCCTTTTACACATTGTTAACACAGGTAGAAGCAACACTAAACTCCCGTCCTTTATCCTCTTTATCATCTTGTCCGGATGATTTAAATGTCCTTACACCTTCCCATTTCCTTATTGGGCGACGACTAGTTTCACTTCCGGATCCCGACGTTACGGAGATTTCCGTCAATAGACTTTCCAAATTCCAACATCTACAAATGCTCTATCAACACTTTTGGAAAAGATGGTCCAGTGAATATATGATGGAATTACAGCAACGAGCTAAGTGGACAAAGAATTGTCCAAATGTTAAAATTGGACAAGTGGTGTTAATTATGGACAAAAATCGACCGCCTTTAGAGTGGAACTTGGGTAAAATTAGTGAAGTGTTTCCAGGGCCGGATAAGAGAATTCGGGTAGTTCGTGTTAAAACGCAACATAGTGAATTTAAACGACCAATCTCTAAACTGTGCCCATTGCCTTTTCCTGATAATAACTGATAATGATTATCTTGATGTATTTCCACATTGTATATGTTTATTTATTTCATGCTTTTTTTGTTATTTGTTTGAAAGGTACCCTTTCAAGGTGGGGGGAATATGTTTAGCAAGATTACAAACTTTAATCTAAATCTGGCAACGCGCCATTTGGTTGAACGCCGTCTGTGGCTGAGCTAACACCTGTTGAGCAAGACATATTCTCTATCCTTGTCAACCCGTTTTGTGTTTTAGCCCTGACCGGTTTATTACATTATTGTTGTTCGATGAGACGATATGTATTCTCTTTTTGTAAAGTGATGAAAAATAAAACAGTTGTTAAATTTGGTTGGTGTTAGTTATTGAATAAAATTATTAAGAATCTATAAGCGGGAAAAGCCCCAACAAAGATATTGATTTACTTGTCATTTTAATTGGGCGTACACTGTCTTACGAACAAGACATTTTCTTTAAAAAAGTTGGGAAAGGAAATGTAAAAACGGGGATATACTTGACTAAAAGTTTTGATAATTATCCTCATTGCAAAACACATATTTTATTTCTGCACGCATTAAGTGGCTGTGACACAACTTCTGCGCTTTTTAAAAAGGGAAAAATCATTTTTTAAAGTTTTTGAGAAACTGACAAATTTGAATGAACTAGCTGCAGCATTTGAGAAAAAAAATTGTTCGGCCCAGAGATTATTAGAGAGTGGAACTCAAATCTTATTGGCAGTCTATAATGCTCCGAAATCTGTGAAAAGTCTCGATCATCTTCGTTATATGCATTACGTCAAGTCTACAAAACTTAATTAACCTGTGCAGCTTTCAAATATTCCACCAACAAAAGCAGCTGCTCATCAACCTTTCAAACGTGTATATTATTAAGTTCAAACTTGGTTAAGGCATGATTTGGAACCCCAGGTATGGAGTTGGGCAATGCGAAACGATTTTCTGGAGCCTATCATGACAATTTTACCACCTGCTCCAGAAGATTTGCTAAATACAATTTTCTGCAACTGCAAGAGTGGTTGTGGTTCGCGATGCTGATGCAGGAAAGCGGGCTTGCAATGCTCTTTAGCTTGTGGCCAATGTAATGGGCAAGCTTGTTTCAATGCTCTACCATATCAGAGCGACATTAACGAAGATGGAACCTTTGACCCCGAAATCATGGAAGAACTTGAGAGAAATGTCGTTGAAGACGATAATGAAGACCAGTTTGAAATTTACCAGCAGCCGGAAGACGACGATGAAGAGGAAGAAGATTATTAAAATTATAAATTGTAGTTTTTGTACCTTTTATTCCATTTTTTTACTTTTAATAAAAATAAATGTATTGAATGAAATTTTTTAATAAAAAGATTAATTCATAATTTATTTGTTTTTTTTTTCATCATGTTAGAATTTATTAATATTAATTAGGTTAAAATTCAAATATAATTCCTATATTTTCATTAACAATTTTGCAATTACATGGGCAGGTAAGTGTTGTTAAATAAATTAATACTAAATAAAAAGTGGATAGGTTAGGAAAAAAAATTATAAAATATAATATAATAGTTAATAAAAATTGACAAATATTTATAATCATTGATTTATCGATATTTCATCAACTATATATGGCGCGTTTTCGACCGGAGGCACCGGTTGACCTGAAGTGATGCTGTGACCGCGCGCTCTCCGTCATCTATCTCGAAAACGGTTCACCGTATGAAAAATTTTTTTAAACAAAATTTTTAGAGAATTTTGTATTCTACAATATTGATAATAAATACAAATAGCAAAAAACCCATAGGAAATGAGATATTTACAAAAAAAGCGCAAAAAACCGATTTTTGTGACCTTTGATCTTGAAATTTAATAGATGCGTACACCCTACTATATGTAGGTTTTGAGACAACTTTTAGGGTGTCAATATACAAGTATTTACAGACTTACAGCTGGGTATCTCGAAATCCGAGGTGAACTTACTATAATGATTGGACTATGAACCCAATAAAATGTAGGTATCGTGGGGCAGTTCGGACCTTATCTACCGTTAGATAAAGATACAAACTACACGCTGACAACGTTTCATTTTACTTCGAACTTTTAATCGCTTAGAAGATCAGTCAAATTTTTGAAGTTATTTCAACAGAATGATATCTGTCCTCGAGGTAAATAATAAAAAAATGAAATAGTTATTCAAAAAATATAAAATATTTTTTGAAACTATCTGAACGTATAGTCTTTGAAGAGTGATTCGAAGAAATAGGTTTTAGTAGAAGAAAAAGAAGAAGAAGAAAAAGGTTTTTGTAAATTTGTAAGAGATTGAATAAATTTTGCAATACCCCACTAATTTGTTTATTAATTAATACTGAATATTTCTCCTTTTCTCGGTATTTAAAAAAGCTGACTGAGTTTATAATCGTAGAGAAATTAGTCTTGTTACTTCGCGGTTATTTTAGGTACTTTTATATTTTGAGGATTACCTAAGTTACAATTATACATTTAGAGAAAATTAGACAAATATATCAAACTTTAATAAAATTAAACATGCGCTTTCGGTTTTTTGTCTGGCAGATGTCTGCACAAAAAAATTTATATTTTATACAAATTTAACTGAAGTGAATCTATGATTGGGACAACACTATTGTGTACATCATTTACAGTCTTATTAATTGTAAATTTTACAAATGTTTGTACTTACCCTCATAATCTGAATACGGTGCTGTGGAAACTACTGTTAAGATGACAAGAAAAGTAAACACTGCCGACAATAAGCTAACTGTTGCTGTACTACTCATTCTATGTGGACAACCAATCTGAAACAATCAGTACATTAGATAAATATAATTTAAAACATTAAAAAGATTATTATAACCAATATAAAGAAACTCAACAAAAAGCAACAAAATTTGAAGTTACATTTAACAAATTTTCAAAAAAATTGTACAATAGGAATACTGTGACCTACTGTAACCTAACTAACCCAGGTAGCTTCTCAATTTATTAGGTAATTTCATTTTATTAAAGAAATATTATATTTAAATTCCTTGATAAAAAGAAAACAAATTCTAGATAATTTTAATATTTTCTAGATAATTTTAATATTTTCTAGATAATTTTAATACTATTTAATAAATTCTTTGGACGTTCCCAAATAAGATACAAAATTATCCCTACCATGCCATTACGTTCAACTGAACGAATATATTTCATATCCATTCTACCTAGTAGGAACACAGCAGAAGGATGAAATCTAACTATGACAGTTTAAATTTTGGTCATCCAGCTACTACTAGTTTTTAAATTTTATATAAGTGACAATTCTGTCAAACTAATTGCTTTAAAACACATTTTAAAACAGAGTATATTCGGAGACGGTCCTGTGCTCGGTGCGCAGGTGTTTTGTTATGGACGACTATAAACAAACGTCTACGTGACCATAATCGCATTTGCTGAGTTGCATCAGCGCGAAACCACTCAAGGCCAACCAGTTTGTGGTACGTAGACATGCATATCTTTTCTTTGAACGGTAAAAATACCAGATCGTTTTAGACTTCGATAGAAGTTGAACGGGTCTCAACAGAAAACTCGATTTCAGTTATTCTTTTGTAAATACATAAGTTCTCTGAACAAACATACTAAAATGATACTAGATAATAATAAATAATTTTATTCCTAAGGCAGTGTTAAGCCTCTAGGTGTTTGTAAATAAGGTATAGTGTAAATATGTAAAATTTAAAAGTTGTCATGCAACGTTTTGAAAAATAAATTGTTTTTTACGAAATTGCTGGCATTTCATTATCCGTATGAAAATATTTGCTAGCACCGAAAGGAGACAGTCCACTTGGTAAGCGAGCCTTAATTTCAATAATATCAAACTATTCAATTTACTACTTTTTACCACAGCGACAATTGAAATGGGTAATAGATTAAAAAACCTGTAATGGTTAAAACAGAATTTTTATGATAAACATTTATAATTAGGATACAAAACTCAATTTAAAAACTATAAACAAAAACTAAAACGTGATAAAATATTTTATTATCAAATTTCAATTGACAATAAGACGAACCCTATTGAAATGCAAAAATACGTATGGAAACTAGTTAAAGAAAAAAGCGGCAGAATAAAAACAAATCAACAAATTAAATTAAAAATCAATGAACAGATAATTGAAAATAATTTTGAGGTAGCAAATAGTTTTGTTAAACACTATAGTAATGCAGTAAAATTATTGAATGAAAAGTATTTTGGAAGCGCTAGTACAGATTGTACAAAATGTGTTCTGAGTAACAGTAATTAGTTTTTCTTTGACCCAGTAAATAAACAAGACGTTTTAGAGATAATTGGAAATTTAAAAAATACTAATTCTGTTGGAGTAGATTGCATACCCACTAAAATTATTAAAAATATTGCTTATTATGTAGCTGAACCTTTAGCTAATATAATAAATGTTTCCGTTCAGGATGGTGAATACCCTGAAGATTTGAAAGTAGGATTAATAACTCCTTTATACAAAAAAGATGATCCGCTAAGTTTAAACAATTATAGACAAATAACAGTATCAAATGTCATAAGTAAATTAGTCGAAAAGGCTATGTATAATAGGATGATTTCTTACTTAGAAAAGTATAAGATCATAACTAAATGCCAAAATGGTTTTTACCCTGGTAGATCAACGGAGAGCGCTATATATGATTTTGTTGAATTTTTATACAAACGCCTTGATAGCAAAAAAGTTATTGGAGCACTTTTCTTTGATCTTAAACAAGCTTTTGATTGCTTAAATTTGGATTTTGTGGAAACTAAACTTCAATCTTTAGGTTTTCGAGGAAATGTGTTAAGTTGGCTAATGTCACATTTAAGACATAGAAAAATTATTGTCAAAGTGAATGAAACTTGTTCAAATGAAGGTAATGTAGATATGGGGGTTCGTCAGGGATCCGTATTGGGACCATTGATATTTCTTATATTTATAAATGACTTACCAACATACTTAAACGCAGATTGCATTGTTCTATATGCAGATGATGTGTCAGTGGCTTCTTGTGCGAATTCTCTAGAGGAACTTTCAAACAAATTGAATTTCCTCTATAACAAATTCAATGAGTGGTGTCTACAAAATCACCTAATATTAAATTCTAAGAAAACGGTACTGATGAAATTTAACATTACTAATAACATTGAGAATGTAATAACAGTGACAACAGATAATCTAAATATGACAATGTCCGAGTCTACAAAATTTCTGGGAACTTTTCTTTACAGCACCTTATCATTTCAATCGTGCATTGATTATATTAGTAAAAAGGTTAATAGTGGGTATTATGTTTTATTTCAACTAAAAAATATTTTAGGCAAACAACAACTTATAAATATATATTACGCAATGATATACTCTCATTTGTCATATAATATAATTGTGTGGGGAAATTCATCATCCTCTAATAGGCTTTTCATTTTACAAAAAAGAGTTTTGAGATTAATTCTTGGTCTTAATAGAAGAATATCATGCAAATCATATTTCCAACAACTTAATATTTTAACACTGCCTTCTATTTACTTTTATAAATGCATAATATATATTAGGAAAAAAATGAATGAATTTAGTAAAAATTTAGATAATCATAACTACCAAACCAGGCATGGTAATTTGTTACGAATTCCGAATCATAGAACAGCGTTCTATCAAAAATGTCCGTCATATGCTGGCATACAATTATATAATAAATTGCCCCAGTCAATAAAAGATGAACAAATTTTTAATTCTTTTAAGAAAAAACTTAAGGAATTCTTGTTAGAGAATTGTTTTTATAATGTAGATGAGTACTACAATTTTAACTAAATAAGTATGGCTCCACTCGGTCTGTGTAATATTATTTATTTTTATTTGTTACGTGATATATGCTCTGTTTATTTTATATATATATTTTTTTTATGTTTACTTGCCTAAATTATGTACATTCTTTGTAAAACACTTTGTAAAACTGACTTTTTCAATACCGTGTAGCAATGGTCTTACTGGAATAAAGATTTTTTTTTTTTTTAATAAACAAATGTCGCTCAACATATTTATACGGCCACATAATCTAACTAAAAGGCGACTCATCAGTCCAGTATACTATGAGAGTTGCCATTACGCCTTTATAGGCAAACTATATCAATCTATAAACAATATTTAATAGTAAAAGAGTATTAAAACTAAAATCGTAAGGTGAGGACAAGGCGTACATCTTCCATGTGATAGGTCCTGGTTCAAATCTTTTGTTTTCATGTTTATTTTATTTAATAAATTAGTAGAAGCCATATATTAATTTAAAATTTGTTATTTTGTCTTAATAACCTAAAATATTTTTTAAATTTTTAGATTTTCGTTAGTGGGTCGTAGAAAAAATATACGGTGTGACTTGAGTAGATTATCCATTTAATAATAATAATAATAATAATAATAATAATAATAATAATAATAATAATAATCGTCTTTATTATTTTCAAAATACAATATATTATAAAATATATATTTACAATTACACTCGTGAAAATAAAGGGCGAAGTTCATTTTTTCTACTGAAGAGCTCAGTAAGATAAAATTTTCTTCCACTTAATCCAACAAGGGTGTCTATATGTTTGATATTTATTACAGAAAACAAAATAAAACATGTATTAATAGTAAAAAATAAAATATAATAAAATAGATTTTTTGAGGATGGATTTTGTGAGGATTGTGTATAACAGAGATTAGATACATTGTTTATTAAATAAGAGGACTTTCAGCTTAGATTTAAATGCGAATATACAAAGATTTTTTAAATTTCCAGGAACAGAGTTACATAACTTAAATATTTGATATTTAAATGATCGTCTAAAAAATTCTGTTCGAAACGGTGGTGGCGTCAGTAAACCTTTAAATCTTAAATTAAGGTTATGTACATCTGTTCTAAAAGTTATTTTATTATATAGATACATAATAAGTTTGTGATAGAGGGTAGAAGCATGGTGGATCCTTCTATATTCCATGTTCAACCACCCAACTTCCCGAAGTTTATACGTTATTCTTTGACGCCTTTTTATGCCATAAATTAGCCTTAGACAACAGTTTGGAATTTTTTGAATTTTATTTTTATAAGTGGTACCTAGTTAAATTTGGACCATAGACGGCGTCCGCAAAATTGAAATGCGATAGTACTAACGTTTCACAGAGGGTTGTTTTAACATTTTGAGGCAGGAGATTACGGTTACCATATATTAATTTTATTGAGCTATATGCACGCTGAATTAGCTTATTAACATGTTTTTCGAATCTTAGATCCGAATCAATAATGACTCCTAAATTTTTAGCTTCATTAACTAGAACTAATTCTTTATTATTAATATTATTATTTAGGGGGAGTTGTACTCGGGTACGACTTGAGTTAGTACCAAAAAGCATTAGGTTAGATTTTATAGGATTGATCATTAAACAATGCTCAGATGCTGCCTCAATAAAAGCATCTAACTCTTGATTTATTAATGCACAAGCATTTTCTGATAAATGAGGAGGGAAACTGTAATAGATCTGAGTGTCGTCAGCATAAAGATGAATTTTACATTTGTCTAATGAACTTATTAATTTTGAAGTATATATAGCGAAAAGTAATGGCCCTAAAATGGAGCCTTGAGGCACTCCTGTCTTAAGAGTCAAATATTCGGACTGAATAGAATTAATTTCAACGCATTGTTTGCGGTGTTGTAAAAAACTGTGGATAAGCAAATTAGCATTATTGGAAAACCCTATATGATGCAAAATTTTAAGTAATAAATCATAGTTTATAGTAT